TAATTAACAATTATTCCATTCGCGCTTGTTGGATATGAGATGGTAGATAGCCAAAGAGGCGCGTAAAGCCGAGTTGGCTATAATCATATCATATCCAAAAAGCGCGAGTGGAATAATTTTTGTATGAAAAACCCTGATCAGGACTCGAGATGTGAAATTCAACAGATGGAATCACACGTAGCTGGGACATTTTATTGTAAATGGGGCCTTGTTACCGGGTTCTCCTTGTGATTTATCATTTGTTAGTTTTCTACTATTTCTGACAGGATTTCCCTTCACCAGTAGTTTTATGATCACATGAGTAACACGTTCGTACAATTATCTTTTTAATAGTTGAGAGAGCCACCGCTGGACGGAATGTTTGTGTACGGTATTTACCTGTGGGGCTGTGCTTGGGAGAAAACCACTGGGGACCTCCTGGATGCACCTCCGAAATTAGGCCCAACCCNAAAATGCGTATAGAATGAATTTCTCTACCCCTTGTGACCAAGGTTGTAGCCTATTCGGTCCGTATTGGAAAATGTTGGTCTCGTTTTTTTTTTTGTTTTTTTTTAAATTTTTAGTTTTTCACGTTTATGGAAGCGAGGTCCATAAACCTGCAAAAACTAAACTCGAACAATATTTCTTCGATACGAAAATCACGCTGGTTTAATGGACAATTATTCCATTCGCGCTTGTTGGATATGAGATGATAGATAGCCAACGAGGCGCGTAAAGCCGAGTTGGCTATAATTATCTCATACCCAAAAAGCGCGAGTGAAATAATTTTTGTATGAAAAACCCTAACCAGGACTCGAGACGTGAAATTCAACACACGGAATCACACGTAGCTGGGACATTTAATCGCAATGGGGCCTTGTTACTGGGTTCTCGTTATGATTTATTATTTGTTAGTTTTCTACTATTTCTGACAGGTTTTCCCTTCACCAGTAGTTTTATGATCACATGAGTAACACGTTCGTACAATTATCTTTTCAATAGTTGAGAGAGCCACCGCTGGACGGAATGTTTGTGTACGGTATTTACCTGTGGGGCTGTGCTTGGGAGAAAACCACTGGGGACCTCCTGGATGCACCTCCGAAATTAGGCCCAACCCCTCTCCCTGTGGTGCACATCGTGGCTCTTCCTCAGATTGAAAAGGCGTCCTTGAATGACCCTGTTCGTGCTGCTGTATCATACTCGTGCCCATGTTACTCGTCCAGGATTTGTCAGCGGGAACCTGTGATGCTTTTGGATGT